CTTTGTAATATGGTTGGAATTTTTGCTCAGCATCCAGGTTTTATTTCGATATTGTTAGCTTCCTTTATTTACCCAAATTTCCAGACATCAGATGTGGGTCCATTGCTTGTTCAGGTATTTAGTATTCTGTTCTGAATGAACTGCTGCTTCTGCACTTTCTAAACATACAAAGCTTTCTTATGTGAAGAACAAGATACTTTAGAAAATGCAATAAACAGCTTTTAATACATTTAAAGTGAGTGTTCTGTTGGTGTGTATGTACCATTGTTTTTTGATTGGACTTGCACACATAAGGAATCCAAACATCTCTTTTAATTCAAAGAAAACATCTATAATTCAAAGAAATTTGTTGTCAGCAGTTACAGTGAGCAAATACACTGATTTCTCCAAACAGGAATATTTATTTTGTTTGAAGAAAAACTTCTCTCCATCCCTATAGCAATCAGATTACCTTCTCTTGCTCTGATTTTGACTTTCTCTTTTTACTGATTTTTCTCAGCATCTTGTCTCAGTGTTTCCTCTGTTCTGTGAGGAATCCTTGCAGGCTTTAACTGGTGAAGTTCTTTTCTGCTTATCCTGGAACTATAAAAGTTTCAGCACTTTGTCTGCATTCCTTGTTGAAAGAAAATAGTCCTTTTTATCTCCATGTACTGATATACCCCTGTGATCCCTAGATTTGATTTAAGAGAAAACTTGATGTTCTGAGAAATCCCACAGTCCTATTTTTAATAGTATCCCAAAGTGATTTGGTCTTGGTATTCTAAAAAGAAAAAAATTACACATATGTATATCTATATATGTCTCATTTCCTTGACAAGTGGCTGACTGAATTCTCCTTCTGTGTGTATAAATGTACAAAGGCATATTGGACCTGGGGAAAACCTGGAACAATAGACACCAAACCCCAGAAAAGAAAATGTATACCAGGTCCATGGTCTGGCTGGCCAGATACACAGTTGGGACTGACTTCTTTCAGACAGAATTACTCTGCTGAGCTGTAATGATGCTTCAGAGCTTGAGATGGGCAAGCAGCCACTTTTGTGCAAGGGAGGACTGTCAGTTATGCTCATAAAATTAGAAGGAATTGAGTTCTAGATGTTAAGACAGAATGTCAGAATATTGAATCTCTGAAAACTTTTTTCAAAGACTGAAAAAAAGAAATGGTTTAAAAGGAGATTAATTTCCTTTTGCAAGGGATTATTTTTATCAGTCAAAGAATTTGAAAGCTTCATGAACCCACTCTTAAAGCTCACTAATGTCACCAGAAATACCATGTTTAATTCTTTTCATTTCCATGCATCTTAAAAAAATATCCTATGTTCCCACAGGATCATATTTATTTTCTGTCTGACAACTTCAGCAAATATTGGTCATTTTAGTGCACTGCTTTCCCATACATCACTGAAAAATTATACTTGTAAATGTGGATCTAAGACTTCCCATGCAAAGTGGGATTCAACAAGTTTTCACGGGGCATTAAGGCATGAGGACAAAATCAACTGGCTTGAGTGATCATCATAATGCTCCCTTGTTTAGGGAGAAACACTGGAGATGATCACTGGAGATTTATAGCATTAAATTTAATAACTACAGAACTTGAAGTGCTATTTTTAGACCTGTTGTCTGTAAAAGCATGGCATGTGTGATCACTCTGTAAATCTGTCTCAGGTCACATTGGCCAGATTTGCTCAAATTTAACATAGGATTGGCAACCCAAACCTAAAACCTTTTTGAAAATTATTATTGGCTAGCAGAGAGGGGCAGAGCACCTTCATCAATAGAAATAGATAAATATGGCTAATCCTTTGCCATAGAGGAGGCAGTGGAGATCCAGGTGGGAGCTGGGGGACTGCAAGCTGCAAGAACAGCAGCCACAGCTGAGATGGGGCATCAAAGAGCTGCAGGACAGCAGGCCACAACATTAGAGGGACCCCACATAAAAGTATGTGGGAGAAAAAGAATCTGTTTCATTAATTATTTTATTCAGGAAGCAAATTTTAAAAATCATTTAACCATCAGTGATGAAAAGCTACGGCTGCCAGCTGAGATGTCTCAGCGTTGTACACAAGGTTTGTTTTAGCACAGCATGCTGCTTGCAGAAGGATGTTTTACTAATTAGTTGCAAAAGTTATAGGAAGTTTGTAATTCACCCTTTTTACACCTAAATTGAATGACTCAAGACAGTAGAGTTATTGTATGAGTGAAAAACAGGATGATGCCATTAGAATCTGCCAGTCATCAGGTATCATGAGCTTCATTACAAAGCAAAGATTTTCCTGAAGAAAACAAAGAAGCAGAAAACCTCCACAAACCATTTCTTCTCTCTTTTGAGTGTGCTTGAGTAATTTCTAAATACACAAGGCCCTGAAGCCCAGAAGGACACAGTAAAGAAATAAATTCACTGAAACCAGAGCCCATGACAAAAGTGCTGCTACCCAACTATTCAAAGTGGCTGATTATCAATAGGGAAGATGTTCCTGAATGCTTGGACTGTTTGTCAGCCCAGATAAATAGGGAAAATGGGATAAAGATTGTTAATTAAGCTATTAAGAAGAGATATAGAAATTGTATTCAGTTGAGATTTAAGGGAAGCAATGACACAAAGTCTGAAGTTGACTGAACTGGTAAGAGTTGGCTGAGCTGAACTCATGCTATACCACCAGAAAATCTGGCCTCTACAGTTCCAGTGTGGCACTTTGTCTAAGTCTACCTCATAATTAAAAAACTCACACCCACACCAAAAGAAACACTAAGTCATGTTCCTGTGTGTAACAGGTAAGACACAGGTGTCTAATTAAGATCTGCAGGCTCAACTTGCAAAAGCCAGAATTTCATGACTGGGGACAGAGGCAGGAATTTATTCGCTATGTCCATCACAATTTTCTCTAAAGTCTGTTTACTTTAACAGTTCTAATAATGTTAATAATTTCTGAATGTATGAAAGGCTGGTAGTCCTCTTTAGATCCTGGTAAGGCTGGAGGAAAGTTCTTTGGTGTTCCCACACTTGTTGTGGGAGAGGCAGCAGAGCTCAAGTCACCCCAGTTATCCTTTTCTCAGAGGAAATATTTACATCTTTATTCAGCTGGAGGGTCAGGGGTCTTCAGTTTTATAAACTCAGTCTTACAGTTAAGATCAGTGATCTTTTTCTAACACTTGTCCTGGAGAAATAAAATAGTTCCTATTTCAAAAGTAGTGAAATGATTAAAATTAATGGCTCAAAGAAGAAGAAGACAGTCAGGTGCATAATATCAAAATATTTGAGCTCTGTCAGTACTGTGTTTTGTGCATTTTATACTGCACTAGCCACAGAATACAATGTGATTCTGCAATGGTATGCTACAGAAAGTAACATAAGCATTTAATAAATTTGGCATGAGTTTCACATTCTTTGGTTAAAATGCTAACACATGTGGATTTTAAGATTCAAAATTAAAGATATTTGGATTCTAAAAATAATTCAGAGTCCATTTTCTTCAAGTACTGACAAAAGACTGAGGTTGTGATTGAAAGACAAAAATATTGTGTTTCTTCAGTTGGGTCCTCAGTCTTGCCTTGCTCAGATCTCTAACAACATTTTTGAGACCAATGTCAGTAATGAACACCAGAATCCAGGAGTTTTCCAGGCTTTGGTGCCAAGAAGTGAGCACAAGTGATCAGCAGCAGTGTCTTGAAAGCACAGCTGTAGATGACTTTATATATATGTACACACATATATAGATCAAAGCACTGGAAAAAAATATATCAACTTGAGCAGACCTCATCAGTATCTTATTTGTTATCTTGAATTTCTCCACCTCTATTTTCAGCGGTCCAGGGCACCATGACAGCTGTGGATGAGCAGGTGCAGAGAACAATTATCCTGTTTCTGGAGGTAATTGTGGGCTTCAATTAGGAAGCCAACTTACTGGAGTAAAGAAACTCATCACTGTTGATTCTTAGGTGAGGAATAAGATCTTTTTATGTGACCCACCATGAATAATCTGTTTATTTATTTATTTATAATACAGCATCGATGTCAGTGTAATTCTCTGGTCTAGCACACTGCAAAGGATACACAGAGGCCATACAGAGTGAGAAATAGAGCCAGTGGGATGCAGATGAACTAGTTTCTTTATAGTGACAGTCATAGGGTTGCATTTGTGAAAGATGTACTCATATCTGCAGCAGAACTGAGTTCCAAAATCCTGCTGGTGGGCACTCAGAGAATTTTCTAATGCAAAATAAATAAATAAATATTCAGGCAAAGAATATCTTACATGAAAAAAATGTAGCTGAGCTCCATTGTTTCAAAGGGCCTGCTTGAACCAGGATTTATCTTTTTATCTTTTAATATCTATCTATTTATGCATGTGTGCACAGAACCTACAGACTAATTGGAATCATATTTGTACGTCTACTGACTATTATATGCTATATGTAAATTCCAACATTTTGCAGTTCTCAAGCTGCCATGTAGAGAAAGTTAGTAATAAATCCTTCACTCTTACCTTTTTAATGTTTTCCAAGAGTTTTATTTCTTTGAAGTGTCTTTGATTTTTATATATGTATAAAATTCAAAAATAAAAAAAAAAATCCCAGTGTAAATCCCAAACAAAATAAACTCCCTTGTGCCAATAAAAATGCACATTTAAGGGATGAAGGGGATATCTGGGCTATAGATTTAATTTTTTTGAGCTAGATCACCTTTATCTAGTTTAATGTTTGTTCTGTTACCATTTGAAATTTAATTTCAGGTAGTTCATCATATCAGAATAGGATGCATCATTATCTCTAAGAGGATGTTTTCATTTGGCATCTGCTATTTTCACCAAATGTCAAGGCTTGACATTTGCTATCTTTATCTGGTTTTGGTGTATCACTCATACTGAGATTTTGTTTCTTCTTATCTGATATTGATTTCAACTGTGACCAGCTGTGTTGCTAATAAAATCAACAGGCAAGTATCTGGCATTTAGTTCTTCACTGCTAGAGGAAAAGAAACAACCAGTGACAAAAAATCGTAAAGAGATACTTTTCAATTAGGATGCTCGCCTGTATCCTCATATTATCCATCTTTTAGTACTTCTGTTGACATTATATTTCTGATTGATTCCCTTGGGGAAGTCTCCATGGAAATCCTTGCCTCTCAGATGAAATATTCCTTTTTGCTCTCATCCACTGCTTCCTGGAGAGCAGGGTCATTTTTCAAAGCGGCATCCGCGCTTTCGGCAAACTCAGTTCCTTTGGCCTCGTTGGTGTGGTAGGTGCCCTTGTGCCTGTACATGTACCGGACCATCACCACCAGCAGGCAAATGAGGACAAACACCACGGCAGCAATCACACCTAGGGGAAAGAGACCACTTAAATGTATCACCAGTGATAAAGTATGAGAAGTGTCTCCCAGCCAGAGATCACGACTTGAGTTGCCTGGCAGGGAAAAGCTCACGTGTCTTAAGGGGTTTGCATGTTGCAGTGACCAGAGTCAGAACATGCTGCAAGTAGCTAGATGGGCTATAGATACTGCAGGAATACAGGAAGAATTCTCACTAGTTCTCTTTCAAGTCAATGGCTTGATTTGGCTGAACGTATTGGAGCTAAAAATTCATTACAAAATGAGGAGAAATAAACGAACATAAAGGAAAACCAATAAGTTTCTTTCATCCTTCTGGTAGCATACACCCAGGGTGGGCAGCAGACAACTCCTTCTCAACTGCTCTCAATTTCAGGAAATGTTCAGGGCACTGAGTATTTCATAGGAGACATTCAACAAGTAGCTCGAGCTGTGTGACTCTGGAACTGCTCTGCATTTGCAAGCTGCCATTTCATTCTGTGCTCTAATTAAGAAATTTTGATTGTAATGAATGTGGAAGTGACACCTGGCAGAAGGAAGGGATTCTGGGAAGATCTTTCTTGTCTCCTGGACTAAGGCTAATTTCCAGCTGTGTTCACTGGACAGAAATTTCAAATTGGGTGACCCCAATGTGCGTAGGACTAAATGGTGGTGGACTCCTAGTGAAAGAAAGTAAATTCAAGATCCTTTTCCATTATGAAAGGTAGAAGTCCATAAAAGAGGTAAGTCCTGACAAGTCCAAAGAATGACAAGTCCATGACAATTCCATTCTTAAAAAAACCTACAAACTCTAGCCCTTTCCTTACAGATCAAATTATTGACTTTAAAACCCTGAAAAAAAATAAGTATTTTGAAGTTTATTCAACTTGTGTATCTTTTATAATTTTTTAAATGTGATCTTTTTGCATGGATCCAAGATGTGCTTATAAACATTTTTGCTGTGATTCTGTAGGAGTACATGATACTGAGCTGATTCTATATTCATAAGAATCCAGGAATAAGTCAAACATTAAAGGAATAAACAATGAAAAGGACTAGAACAGAACATTCCTAGGGCTTCCTCTGCTGTCAGTGAAGAGGGTGTGTGTGTGGTCATTTCTTCTAGAAGTGAATTTTATATTTTGTCAGAAGAATTGCTCCCTGGAAATGCTTACTATTCTGCAGAGACAATATGGGAAAGGTGGAGAGTACCTCTTTTCTGCATCTTATATTCAAGCTAAATGAGAAAGTGGGTATCTCCAAAGCTTTAGATTTATCAGCATCAGTAAATTGAGGAGATGCTACTGGCATAAAAACATAGGAATAGACAGAATATTAGCAGTGTAAATAAAGGTTATAACTCTGTCTTTAAAGATATGCCTTAACATTATCCTCCAGATTTCATGGTACTTGGTTCTGGAATGTGAAGCTACAGCTAGCAGAAATAAAATTGCTTATATAAAGAACTTCAAGTTTAAAACAATATCATGGTTGCAGTGTGGGCTTCATCAATTTTTAGGACCTCACTGGTATCCCCTTGACACAAGAGGCTCTAATAGGCTTTAGCTGTAGCACAATATTAATAAGCCTAGGGGACTAAGTACAAATCAATTTACCTGCTACTTGTTCATAGAAAGCTGAAATTAAAGTTACAGGAGATGGGACCGGAGGGAAATATAGCAGAACCTCACCAATTTGCACTAATGATTGGTATAGCCCCTTGTGAATGACTGAAATTAGAGTGTTAGCATGGAAATGAACAAACACAATAAAAATAAAAAGACAGGTTCACTCCATGAACATAGCTTTGCTCATTTATTCTGACAACTGTATTTAGTTTAAATGCATGAGAGAGCTTTAATGGAACACCAGGAAATACAGTGTGGTGAATTCTGAAACAATAAAGGGTCAGCTGGTATAAGCTAACATCCCTCAATCAAAGGTGCTACCAGCTCTGTACTAAAGGACGAGAGTGACCCAGTGAATACTGAAGGAAATCAGAGACTGACTTTTCTCTTGGACTGTTTGGTATTTTGTCCTAAAACGGGGAATGGATGAGGGTGATACTGCTCAGTATACGGTTTATGCTCATTATCTCATCTTGTTATCTTGCCAATAGTCCCTCTGGGAGCAGATTTCCCACTGGCCTAATTAACTCTAATTGTGCCGCTCCTGTTGTCTTGTCAGCAAAGCAGGGGTTTTGCAAAATGCAAGAAATCAACAAACCTGCTGTTTTAATTCTTATGGTGCTGCTTAGTACGGTCTGCTACTCACCTCCAATAACAGCCACATCTGCTCCAGCTGTGGGGCTCTCCACTTCTCCATCTATAAATAGAATAGAACATAAAAATGTTAATTATAAAAAAGAAATTGGATCATATGGAGGAGCAGTGACTGCACTGGCAGTGTTGTACTATTTTAACCTGTGAAATTCAGAACTTAATCAATATCTCTTGTTAGTAAAAGGCATTTATGAAACTTCACATTAGAGTTAGCCTTACTGTAACAGTTTTCTGCCATCATAACACTGGAAAAGAAATAGCTAGCACATTATGCAAACTATCATGGCCCTCAGGGAAACACCTACTGTTTATTATGAGCATTTACCTGTAACATCCTCCAGTGAATGCTTAAATTAAGAGCATTTAGGTACTGTGATTACTCTCAGAAAGGTAGTTTTGAGGGAAAAAAGGTTGATGTCTATTTAATTTCCTATTTATGGCTCTTCAGAATATGGTCTGGATCTTGATTTGGTGCAAATTAATCTGTGTGTATTAATTTCAATTAATATTTATCTGCAATGCCCTGTTTTTAATCTTTGCATTTGTTTTCTTTTCAGCTTACATTTGAAATTATGGCAAGCCTCTCATGTGTGTGAATAAAACACAGTCCCCTCTTAGAGTAAGTCTGAGTTCAGTGCTGATAAATCAAATAACATTATTTTCATTATAATTCATTAAAAAGAAAATAAAAAAATCTTTACAATATAAATGCAAAAGAGAAGTACCTGACCACGTTTTTTCGAGAAGTATGAAACTGGTCTGAAATGTAAGCTGCTGAAAGAGCAGCTAGAATTTGAATTACACTTTGATGTTATAGCATTTAATAAGAATGCCCAAAACAACTAATAAATAGCCAAAGCTTTTTAAAGGGGAGATGAAAAAATATCCCAAAAACCAGTGAGGATATTTCTCTCTTAATTGTTTGATATAGACCTTAAGTAAAAGTTAAAACATACATGCAAGCACTTCTTTGCCAACTTCCACTTAGTTGATCAGGACAGAACCCTGAATCATTTTCTGCTCCTTATTCCATGCCACTAATATCAGCCCACCTAATTATGTGGACATCTGAGAGGGTGATAAACTCCTCGAGTTCTTCTATGCTAGGTCAATGACAGGACACTCATTTCTTTGTTTAGTTTTGAATGATTTATATATTTATATAATTCTAAATGATACTGACTTTTGAACAAGAAAAAACAAGAAAAAAGGCTTTATGTGAGGGATTTATTTTTTCAATTTCCTTTTGGTAAATGCAGTACATACAGAAGTTCTCTGTCAAAGGTGAAAATGTAACTCCAAATCCTTCTATAAACTCAAGAGTATGGCTGATACCAGGGATGCCTTTTGCTGTATCTGTATGTATGAGTGAAGGACAAAACACTATCAGGAGTTTTCTCCTTGTTCATGTCCAGTCTCTAACATCAGTTATGAACAAATTGAGGAGAGCTGAGATTCAAAGGATCCACCTCTTCTCAAACATGGAAGGTGCTTTTTCTAGAAAGTAAAAGTGCTTTTCCCTCCCCCAGAGATCCTTCCCACGTTTCCTTCCATCTATATACTGATGGAAAGATTGAGCACATCTGTAATTTAAAAACTCTTGTTATGTCTATTCAAAGCCCATGTGCTCAGAAGAGATTAATTGCCTCAAGGTCAAGATGCTCTGTATTTCTTTACACACCAAATATATGCTGCATGCCAAAAAAGCAGGCTCCTCTACAGCAGTCAAATACTTGAAGGTGTGAATTCCAAAGCGCTTCTCAAGCCACACAGCTTGCTGCCAAACATTAATTCCAGATCAAATTATTATCCCCTTAATTAAAAAAAGGTTTATGAATAACTCTCTGCTTGTAACAGGCATTCTCAGGTGCCTCTCAGATTCAGATAACAAGCAGGTGCCTTATCTCTAGTACTTGCCATCACAGTGCTTTTTGATAATGGATTATGGTTTCATCACTTTGCAGAAAAGTTTTCATTTCCATCTTTCTAAGTTTGCAACAGAGTGCAGGACTCATCTTGAGCTATGGCATCCCTGGCACTGCTCTGCTGAGCTGTGTCCTTCAGCAGCCAGCTGACGCTGTGATGTGGCTTCTCCCACCACAGTTCCCATTTTACTACAAGAACCAGAGCCTGGCTACTCCTCTGTGTGTCTCCTTTTGACCACAGACCTTGCTGTCCTCCCAGAGAGCCTTTTGCTGCATCAGTTGGAGTGCCAGAACATTGCAGCTACCACCACCAATGACCAGACGGTCAAGGTCTGCTCCCCAGATCAGTTTTGGAGCAATGTTGATTGAGAGCACAGAGACACCCTTAATCCCAGTTTCACTGTCTCTGAAATTTCACTTTGTCCAAAAATAGCTGTGATTCATGGCAATATTACAGTATTGCTAGGCAGGTGTGAAAGTACTGGCATTGTTTGAGGTTCAAGCAGTGTCATCCTCCCTGAAATATGACTGAGGAACAGAAGGCATGTGTGATGGAATGAGACCATCTTGCCTGAGCAGGAGTGAAACAGGGGTTGCTGTCCAGAAGGGAATCCATGCTTAGCCAGGAACCTCAGCATGGCTTCTCTAAACTCAGTCTGTGTGAGAAATACAGTGCATTACTGTAGGACTGAATCTTCAGTTCCTGAGGCAAAAAATACATCAAGCTTGCTGAAGGAATTTTTAGCTCAGCAATGGCTTTGGCTTTCTCATACCTTCTTTATTCTGCTCTTCTACACATGTAGAGTGCTCAGAGATCTGTGTTACAATAGCTGCTGTTGCACCTGCTTTGATTGTTTCCCTTTGTTTCAAGGACATCTTTTGTGTTATCTGACACTAAATTGTCCTTGCAAAACTTCCTCTCCCGTTAAACTGGCCTTTGTCCAGCTACAGTCTTGTTTTGAAAGTGTTTAAAAAGTGTTTAAACATTGTTGTAATTTACTGCCACTGGTTACCATGACACACAGAAATCAAAAGATTGTGGGGAAACATGTTTTCCTAAAATTTCTGGCCATCAGAATGAGCTGACTAAATCAAGAATGGAACACACAAATCAAATTGTCTGTTCTTGGAAAGTATGTTTTTAAAAGCCAGGATGATGGAAAAGAAATGCTTTTGTGTCATGACCTTAAACTCATCAAATTCCAGTTTTGCTCATAAACTTACAGATAAGGAATTTTGCAATATAATGACAATTGCTATCTGTCTCATTCTCATCAATCACACCCTGCTGAGAAGGCAGCAGCCTGTGAAAGTCTCAGAAATATTTCTGACTTAAATACTGCAAGCAGATCTCTGGCTTTGTGCTTCACAGGTGGCACACCAGTACAACTGACTTGTATGTTAACATAGCTGATGGTGACTAATTCCTGCTAAATTTTTTGGTAAATTTGTTAAATTACCTCATCCAGGTGCAATTTTCTAATAAAACTTGATTTTTATGAATTTTGATAGTTCTCCCCACCCCTAGTTTTAGCCTACTCTCTTCCATTTTGGCTGAAGAACACTTGTTTGAAGTGGGCAGGTCCAGCAATGAAAATCTTTGCTTGAGGTTCAGCACTCTCTTATTCTCACTATGCATTTTTCTGACAGTTCTGACAGTTGTAATGATTTCTTTTGTTCTATAAATTGCAAATCTGAACCACTAAAAGCCATAAATCACTTCCTGCCCCAAAATTCTGACACTGGCTTTAAAATATTTTTTTTATTTATTCATACTTTCTTTTATATCTGAGCTTCATTCAAGTAGATCTTTCCAGTTCTTTACAATGCCAAGGACTAAATGTGCTTTGTAAAGTGAGGTTTTGGCATGATTTTGTGACAGCAGAAAACAGGTCTTTAAAGTGCAAGACTTATCAGTGAGTTACTTTACAAGGCTAACCATATTAAGACATTCCAACTGACAAGCTGTTTAACTTATATGGTGGTGGGAAAGAGCATATTCATCTCCCAAATATTTTCTCTCATTCAGCATAGAAAGCTCAGAGTTTAGATCTTGCTCCTTGCAGGAAACAATGGTTTTAAGTGATTCTGTGGCTACAGTCAGTGACACATGAAATAAATTTGTAGAAAGCTTCAAGCTTTCTAATTTTCAGGCATTATTTTTGCCTGCTAAATTATTTTCTAGAAAAAGAGATAAATCCAGTATTTGTACTCTTGGTGGTTCTGCAGTCAGGACTTCAGGTAACAGTTTAAGTACCTACATGTTTGTTTGCTATGGAATTACACAGGGAAAAGCATGAAAGGAAAACCATACCTGCAAAGGGATCCCACATTTGGCACATTTGACAGGAATGGATGGGAATGACCCTACAGGATAGATCTATAGATCTAGAGTGTGAACTGCCAAATCTCTACTGTGCAATCCACAAAGGCAATTTGGTGGTATAAGGTAGGCCTCATCCCAAACTTCTCAAGGCCTCTCTAATTTCTTAAAATAAAGTTCCAGATGAAAGCTGGTAGCGTTGAGTAGAGAATGAAAGGCCTGAGATTACAACTCCCATTGTCATGATTCCCATGCAGCTGTGGGTGATTCTGCATTTTGGAGTTTGTCAGGCTGAGTGAATATACAGATATCTATGTGTGATAAGCAGCTCTGACAACGTAGGTGTCAAAGCCACTCGACAGCAGTTAGGCAGCACTGCTTCTGCTCCTGTCTCAGGATTTTCCTACCCACAACTTGTGCTTTTGATTCTTAGCAACCCCAGCATCTCTTATCACGATGTTCCACTGCAGACTGCTAGGTTACAATCTCAGACAAAGCCTTGGATGCTAAATTACGCTCAAGGAGGTCTTTAAGTGCTTTCTTGGGCAGCCCATTCTTTCTCTTGATGTGCCCGTTCATTGCATGAGAAGCGCTTGAAATTCATTCAATCCATGTGAATGATGGGTTGAACTCCTTAAGGCAGTCATTTCCTTCTCAGGGCTTTCCTAGGCAGCCAGACTAGGGAGCACACAGGAAGATTTCATCTTGAGTCAGCTCACCTGATCCCTTTATGAAAAACTGCTGCTAATGGGACTTTCCAGGTGAGGGACAACCCAAACTTGTCTCTGAGTATTGACGGATCTGCTTTGCAGAACCAAATACTGACCCAGTTGCTGCAGGCAGTGGTGTGTAAGCAGTCTCTATCTGTAGGCTGAAATGTGTCTTTGGAATTCAGCCATTAAATGTTTAATGGTTTTGCCTTAAACATTCGTACTATCTGTCCATGCATGTCCAGTAAACAAGGGAGATCTTCAAACTGCATAATTGTTCATGGATCCAGTTTGTGATTCAGGCCAGATAGAGATGGAATTCAGAGGAGAGTTTTACCTCAGTACTGATTGTTCTTTCCTGATTCCATACATTTGAAAGAGAACTTTGGTTATAACAAGACGAATGAAATACAGATTACTCAATAATCACCTTGATAAATGTTTGTCTATTTTTTTGGCTTGTATCAATTGACCTAGCACAACGTACCACACTAATCTTGACTTATTTTTAAAAAGTTGTAATTTAAAAAGAAGACTGCCTTTTTATATAAAGAGCTTAGGTGAGGTTCTAATTGCCTCCACTCAAGATGATAGTAAGGTATTTGATTTGGTTCAGTAAAGCATTACAAACTTCTGAAAGCACTGAGGAGTATATGGAGTCTACCAGGCAGCTTTCACAACTGTTAAAAATATTTTCTATAACTACTGCAATTTAAATTTTTTTTTAATATTCTTTTTATAAAAATGTATTTATCATAACTGTTCCTTTCCCAGGGGCTCTTTTTTGTTCTTTTTATGCTCTTCTGCAGCCATTGTTCCTCTTGACTGGAAAAGCAGGTCCTAACGTGTCCCTGTTTTCTCCACTGATGCAAGGCTTTTCTTATCACACTCTTAGTATAGAAAAACTAATGAAGTCTTAACACCTCCATTGTTTATGCAACTGTGGTATGTCCTCCTTGCCCTTTGGTTTATATTTGTGCCTTGCCAACACACTGCATTCATGAGAAAATCATTAATCTATTAACCTTAGCACACTGATTTAATTTACAAGCTATAGTTAGAACTGGTTCACTGCAGCTGCATCTGTAAAAATGAGTAGAACCAACTTCTGAAAACTTCATGTTAGAAATATGTTAATTGCTCAAGCTGCTCTCTGGCCTGTTACAATATCAGATGCATCACAGTGAGGCCATTCTGAATGAAAAAAGTCATTACCTATTTTAATATTTGCCAGCAAGTGTGCTGTGCCCTGCCAGAGCTGGCATCTCTTTTCCCGAAGGGTCACCAGCCTGAACCCATCAATTTGACATATTCTGCTGAAAAAGTCATCACCATCTCCCATTAGACTATGAAACACATTAAGGCTGTTCTTTCAAAATTAAGGAGCAGTTTCTCATCTGTCAGTCTGGAAAAGAGACAGAATAATTTGGCTGCCACTTGTATACTAAATTATTATAAGGAAAATAATGGTGTCACATAACAACAACAATCACATGATCTTTTGGGCAAGTAAATGGACTGTGTTGAAAATGTAAGTTACATCATGTAGGTGAGAAATACCTACACAATTAAAATGCTCTGGGCCCAATTCTCTAGTTATTCCAGCTAACAAGTACTTTGTCATTAATTCTATACAGACAAAGTACAGTTTCATTCAAATAAAGGTCTGTTCAAGATTTTTGACAATTTAAAATATAGAAGAGATAAAAAGCAATTATCAAATTAGTTGAATTAATTTAGGATTGTCACATCATTTTAATCTTATTTGATTCTAGTATACGGTGTTAGCAAAATAGTTTTTTTACCATTCTAGAATGTTATGAAGTAATTAAGAGAAAATGTGGTTTATAGTGTTTGTGGAAGTAAAAGCTTCACTCTCAGAGTTTCTTCTTTTGTGAAGCTGAATTGCCATTGGGTCTTGGGGAAATTCAGAGATAGAGAAATACACTAAAAGTCATCTTGTCAAAAAGTAATCATATGATATCCCTTAATGATAAGATGAAAAAGGAGAAAATATTAATGAAATTTGGGAAAATATTTTAGGTTAAAAAAAAATAAGGACCTTTTAAAAGGGAACAGATATTCTACATTTTGAAATAAAAAACACATATCAAATTTAAAAGGAGAAAAAAAAATGTTTTAAAAGATAGTATAAACTAAAAATCACACAGATTTTTTTAAGTAACTTTTCTGTTTATCCCTCAAAAGAACTGGGAAAGAACTGACAGTGCCTTAAAATCCCCCTTTCAGTTTGAAGAGTTTGAACCACACACTGGTTAGTTTTAGTTGTTTTTTTTTCTTTTGAGTTAGAAGTTACTGGAGACTAACTTCATTGCTCAGGCTGCTGAATACCTACCACCAATTCTGATGGAAATTAAGTCCATCTGGTAAAAGCATTAAAATGACAATTCCCCTTTAGAAGTACTATAAATGTTGCAGTGCCCAGTTTTTACCGTGCTCCTATGGGAAAGCTGCTCAATGTTTGAAGACCAAATGTTGTCTTCTTATCATACAAAGGTGTATAAAATGTGAGAACCTGGAAGAAGGTCCAATCTATTAAAAAAAATGCTGGCAATTTGGAAGTTGTGTCCTGTTTTGTTGGTTTCATTTGTAGAGTTATATCCCTACAAAATTTCCTTACTTTTCTATGGAAATAGGTTAATGTAACTAGGCCATCATTTATGTTTTTCCTCTACAGACGTCAAAGCCAGCTCATGTACAATGTCTTCCTGGGGAAGATAAATTGACCTGGAATTGTTTCATTGAGGAAGGAGTGACAAATGGAATATGAATAAATCTGTCATATACAGTCCATGATCAGGACATTTTCCTGCCTTTGCCTCTCCTCCCACCTTTTCTCTCTTCATCAGAGCAGAGTACTCCTTGTGAGGGCTTTATAATTGGGGAGGTTCTGAAAGAAACTAAATATCCAGTAAATCTGATGATTCTTGCTAATTTCTGTCTGACTTTCCTCCAAAGTCAACAACTTTTAAGTTCTATTCATTTTTTGTTGAATCAAAATGGGAACAAACCAGTCATTCACTCCTTCACTGAGTTAAAAGCTGAATAGACAGGAGTTGCTGGCTTAACTGATTAATCATTGCAAATGTTGCAGATGACCATAGATAATCAAAGCAGCTGACCATGGACATAGTGAAAGCCCATCTGACAACCTGCAATTGATATTTATCTTGTAAATCTTAAGAAAGAGTTAATGAAAACAGCATACCCCACTGATCTAAACTCTTCATGTGAAAAACATAAGCATAAAAATTTGGGACAGAACATTTAAATGAAAAGTCAGAGGCCAAAAGATCTTGGAGTAGGTAGGTGATTATTCCTTCCCAATCCCTCGTGTAAGTGGTTACATGAAGCAGTAAGACAATTTAACTGCTAAACTGCTTGTAATTATTTACCAAGACAAACTTTTAATTTGTACCTAACAGGTCTGCCGGTCTCAGACCTGACTCTCAAGCCTTTTGATTGCATCATAAGAGGATAAGTTGATCTCTGTTTCTTAATGTTGTTGTGCTTGACTTTTATGACCAAAATAACTTCCAAAGATTAAATTCTGGTTTACATTTGAAACATACCCTCTTTTATGGACATGGCACTATGCATTTATGGATTTGGCACTAAGACAAACATTAGTTAAAATTAGTCCCCTTAACTAAGACACTCAGAATTACTTGTTAGAATTTAAAACATTTTCATCAAATATATTCAACTGCATTTTTACACTGATTTTCTCTGTTCCTGCTTACTGCCTGACTGTCCTTTTATCCTTCACAGATTTTGACTCCATTATGCAACTCCAACTGTTTTTAAAGGAAAAGCAGGCAAAGATAAGGACTGCTTCAATTTTCATGAAAACTGCAGACTGGAGAGAAAAGGGAGACCAGAGTAGCCCAGCACTAAAGGAAAGGCAATGAGAACTCAGCATTTTTAAGCTCTGTTTAGCAGCAGTCAGCTGTGCAGTAACCACGAGCTTTCCAGCCATCAGGCACATAGACCCAGAGCCCTGCAGCTTCCCCTCCCCACAGGGAGCTGCTGAGGGAGAGAGCCTCTGTATACTGGGGGTTAGGATTTAGGGGGCAGAGACATAGATCCAAAAACAAGAGTGTTTCACTGACTCTGTTGCTGGCAGAAAACTCATTTTAATGAACACAGACATGCTGAGATAGAAACACGGCCATTATTCTACTGGGGTTGATAAATGTCTATTTCTCATTGAGATGAAAAAGCTTGACCTTGTGCTTAAACTATAGATGATATAATCAAACTACACATAATGTCACCAAGAAACCACCTGGAAACAGGTGAAAACCCGATAATATTGTAAGAATTCAAAGAATGTAGCACCAGGCTCCTATCCTTAGAAAAGTATAATAACTTTCCCAATACGGGCAGGTTTCTTCATTTATGCTCATTCCCACCATCAATATTTTGTAGCAAAGCAGTCCAACAGGTGATAATTCTTGGAAATGGGAGTTCTCTGTGCTCTGTCCCCTGGCTTATTTGATATGAATTGTATTCAGCTCCATCCAGCTCATACACCAGTGCTTGCCTCAGGCACTGTCTACTGTGCGTTGCAAGTGGAAATGTCAGGATGTTTAGCATATGCTCTTCAGGGACACAGAGATCTTTCCTGGAGCACAGATGAGATTAATATTATTAATGGAGATATCTGTAGTGGAAACAGTCTTCCAAATGCTTTGAATATTGAGCATATTAAACAAAGAAAATAAAACATATTGAAACACCTTAGAAACTTGCAAGGCAAATAGTAGCTCAGGGCAACAACATTTCTTATTTCCCAAGGTTTCTTCAATGAATATGCAGATTTCTTTTGCATATTTGCTCTAAAGACAAAGGCCACATTATTATCTGAAAAGCATTTATGTATCAGTTCAAAGCTGTCTGAACAGAGTTGGGGAATTTTAGCAAAACTTCTTTACCATCTATCATTCATCTGAGCAATTCTAGACAGATTGTGCAATAATTGTTGGGGAAAAATGAAAAAGGAACATTTGTGTATTATTTTTGGACAACTGTCTGGTATTTTTTGAAAAATAGCATATTGAACACATTAACAAAGCTAAGCATGAAAAGACCTGCACTGAAGCCGTACACTGAATGTTTTTCAGCACAGGCTTATATTGTGAAATTCATTAACAGTTTATTGCTAATGTTCCGCTCTCCTAATGCAACACAAATGTCAAGGACCATGTAGGTGGGAGGCTAATAAGCAGCCTGACGAGATGTTTGACTGCTGGAAAGGAGTCTGTGTGATCTCAGCTGTCTCCACAGGTGCTGCTGGAGGACACTAATAGGCAGTTGGCTGAGGTGATATCTGTGTGTCTCTTCCAGCTGGAGCTATTGCAGTCTGTTCTGTTCTGACATGCCTTCTTGCAAGAAGATCTATTCAGCCTCCACACAGTGTGGTGAATTCTGGAGTATGGTGTGGGAATTTCCTTCCCATCAACCAATAAGCAAACTTAGAATAGTTTAAAGAAGCCAAGAATTCTGGAGTCTATAATTAGGGAAAATAAATCCCAAACATTATTGTTAGCACTGCTTAGCCATCCCTTTCCAAAGCTTGTGCTGAGGGCTTAACCTTGCTATGAGGTAGTGAGACCCATTTTTTTTGCAGAGCTTTCAACGTGCCCTGGTCAGAAGGGCTTGATATCTCCTGTAGGTGTTTAAATGAGATATTACCCTCTGTGTTTTGCCTGTTAAGTTGGACTCATGTTTATGGAAGGAAACCAGTCATGCCAAAGCTTGATGCTGCTACATTCTTAAGTAGAAAAGAACTTCATTTAGTTTAATCTCCTAATAAGGAGTCCTTTTTGTGTTACTCTTCACTTGAATGGCACTCTGTAGACAGTGTTGACTTTCATGAAACCTGGAAAATTATAATAATTTGTGAGGCTCTTGTTTCTCTTTCAAATCTGGTTGAGACTGGTCAGTGTACCCAAAAGTTCTTGATGAGAACTGGCAGATGGATGAACAGATGATTAGGCAGACAGATAGACAGCAGGAACACATAAGACTCGTTTCATTAGGAAACTGGACTGAAAACAGAAGTAGCAGTGAGTACTTGGATAATATTCATATTCTGGTCACCAATTTAAAAAATGCCATGTTTTTGAAACCATTTCAAATCTTGTAGATGACATCCTTAGTGGTTTAAACAACAAAGGAAAAAACAAAGGAACATTGCTGAGACTTTTTTCCAGCTCCTTTTTTTGGTCAGAATGCTACATTTTTATAGTTTGGACTGTATTTTAAACCTTTAAAGCCAGATTCAGCTTGGACTGCCCTGGAAATTTCAATGGAGGATTAATGTATGTCATTAAGCAAAGAAATATGGTCTAGTAGTTTTCAATAGCAACAAATGCTTGCTATGGTACTTCTCTGATCAACATATTTTTCACTTACTGTAAAGCCTTTGGGCTGCTCCTAAGAGTATGAAATATCCATGCAGGAAAGCTGACACTGAATTGTTGTGATCTGAGCTGGCTGCTACATTCCTGCAGCAAAGGGCATTCTTGTTCCTAAACATTTTCCTTCCAAGCAGAAAACCAGCTCACCAAAAGGAAAGTCCCTTCCTCCATTTAATATCTATTTATTTACTCATATTTACTGTTTACTTAGAGGGCTATTTACTTATGGGCAAATTGATCCAAGTCAAACTCTAGTCTGATTATCAGCTGATGCATTAACAGGGAGAGGTTTGCTAGGTGCAGACAGAGAGGGCAAAAAGCAGGAATGCTCTTTTGAGTGGTTAAAATACATCATAAATCTACATGCAGGAAAAACAAGTTCCCATGAAGAAAAACATAAAGGGAAAAGCAGCTGGTTAAACCTGGAGACTTTTCTAGAGTGCTCTGAGCAGAGCAGAGAGCTCCAGACATTCACAGTCCAGTGACTCCTTTGAACTACAGTAGCTCTAGAAGGCCATGGAAAAAGTTGGGCTGGTATTTCCTATGTAAGATTATATTGGAATGCTCTAAGAAGTTGGGCCCCTCTCTCAGCTGTCAGATCTGGGTCCTAGAGCAGAGCTGATACCCTGTGCCATCCTTCCTTCAAGGGTGCTGCTCCAAGCAGCAGCAGCAGCCACTGAGTGCCCTGCTGGCTCAAAGCGGGGCATTTTCCCAACACACAAAGTGAAACACCAAGTGGTTCACATATGAGGTGGGATTTGCAAGAGCTCTCTCTGCTAAACTGCTTCTGCTTCCTTTGAAATCCGTGTCCTCACACATTCCACCTGCTCAGTTGGGCCAATAGTGAAAGTTTTGAAAATGCCATTTTATGAGTATGAGAAACATGATGGAATCAAGCCAGAAGCATAATATATATGTATTATATAGCCTCTGTCCACCTTCACTGCTCTCTACCATCTACCATAGTATTATACTATACATAATATAGCCTCTGTCCACCTTCTCTGCTTTCCAACTTCCCAGGTTAATTCACCAGTTGATGCTGCCTAACAGGTTGAAAAGGTCTGCCTTCTCAAGCAGTCATGAGACAGCCTGCAAATTTCTCAAAGCACTTTCAAAACTATTTACCACTGCCTCCAGAAAAGTATGCTTTGGAACAGTCTCATAAGGTCTTGTTATCCCACTGAAATACCTATTAGTATAAAGAGAATGAAAGGAAAAAAAAAATAAAAGAAAGAAAGAAAAATGAATCAGCCAACAGCAGTAGCACAGCCCTGGAAAATATGAAGTCATAAGTAGAGTTCAGCCAGAGCAGACTCCCATTAAATTTTGTTTAAGAGCCAAGTTCCACCCTGAGATATGTGTGAGCTGTGGTTTATTTCAGGGGGAGCTGAGCAGTACTTCATGCCATGGCAAGGCTTGGACACAAGTATGCATCTGTTACAAGAGAGGAGAAAAGCCCACTTCCTTTTTGCATTTGTTTTGGTTCTGTCTGTATAGATGAAATAGAAAACTTAAAGAAGTTGATAAAATAGGCCACAGGCCCCAGCTTTACAGGCCCTCTCTGTCAAATTTAATTCGTTCTTCCACAAGACCTGAATATCTGTCTTTCTAAATCCACAAGGCTCCTTTCAGGAAACGTGGGAGTCTTTCCTGGTTCCCCTGCTACACCCATGAGTGTTAAACACACAGCCAGGAACTCTAAGGCTTGTTGTTCTAGCTTCTTAGCTCTTGAGAGTCCCTTTAGCAGACAGCCAGCAAGAAGTGCTCCCTAGGAGATGCACATGCTTTTTAAAGAAGGGTCACACACAGCAGTCTGGCTTTAACTCTCAAGACCTTACACTGGATATTTTTTCCTGGGAAGTAGGAGGTTCGCTTAATGAGGAGGGAAGAAGGGATGGCAGAGATGTTCCCTACCCTGGCTGCATTCCAAAACAGGGGTTAGGTTTACCAGCACCTTTGTGTTGTGCTGGGATGCACAGCTGGCTTCAGACAAAAACCTTTAACATTGCTGGGGTGGGCAGCTGCTGCGCAGACGGAGGGGACAAAATGATAAAGTCATGGTCACACGCTCCTTGAGGCACTGGAGTTACCTGGGAGAACTGGACAGAGGAGTTCCCTGCTCCCTGCAACCAGCTGTGCATTCAGTAATGCTGAGATTCAGGTGAGATTCAAAGGTTGAATTCTTTCACCTACCAGTTAAAAGACCTCGCTCAAGAAGAGCGGCAAGCAAGGCTCAGTCCCACCAAGCGCCGAGTCTGGATGTAAGCAGGAGATTAAAGTGTTTCATATGAGAAACTCTGGTAAATGCAAAAGCTTTTATACCCCAAGGCAACCATTTAAACACTGAATTACTAATTCTGGCTCAAAACTTTCCCATTCCTCAGATCCCTTGATGGCTGGCCTGTGCTTTAACTCTCCATTAAGCATCTGCTTCTGGCTCTAGTGGGTAAGGCAGCCCATCAGCTCCATGCTCACTGCAGCAATTCCATGGGCAGAGGAAGAAAAAGCTTTAAAGTCCTGGTTAGTCAAGAAAACCCAGCACCATCAGCATCAAACCCACACTGGCCATCACTTGTCATGGATTCTGTAGCAGATGGGAAGAGGTGGCATTGTCCCTGGGAAAGGAAGTCTCTTTTCCTTAATGCTGGTGTGACCTAACAGCTGGTGAGGGCTAAGGGAACACACAGGCAGCTCTGGTAATGCTGCTACATCTCTTCATAGTGCAGTGGCACTGAAACAAAGGACAGGGAAAATCAGTACCAAATCCCATTAGCTAGAAGCTGGATTGGAAATATCCCTGCAAAGTTTGGAACGGAAAAGACAGATGTGTGTGGCCCTGGGAGTCTGGAGAGACATATGACCCTTGGCCACAGCTGACTTCCCATGGCTTTGTGTCTGTTAAGGGATGGAGTTTGCATTTCTTGCTACGTCTCCTCACACCAAGGATATTTTCAGTGGGGGGGGGAGTGGGAGGAAATTATCCTCTAAAGGATAAGAATGCTCATGCCCACAGACAGCAGGCTGGTACCATAAAGTGCCAAGTAGTGGAAAACAAAATCAATTGCAAAGCTGAACACCCACATTTATCTGCATTTCCCTGGCGAACTTCCCTCAGCCACCCACAAGTCCTGGACCTTGCTCTGTGCTGCAGGCAGCAGGGCATGACTGGGGTGGGCTGATCCCCAGCTTCTTCTCAGGTGTGAGCTGTGAAGGAAATCACTTGGGTGGAAAATTACATGTGCTATCTGTTACAGTTTCCAAGTCTCTTTTTCTCATTCAATGAGGAAAATATACCCCTTTCTTCTGGAATAAATCATAGACACAATCTTCAATTACAGAATATGTGCTTTTCCCCCTCCCACATCTCCCCCAGTGACTGCTGCAGTTTCATATCCGACAAAAACAGCCATCCAGACCTCCAAAGGGAGAAGCTCCATCTGGCCATCTTCATCAACTGCCAGGTCTGCAAGGCCCTGGGGCTGCACCACGATTGAGAAGGGTGAAAATTCACCCAAAGATTTGGTACTCAGGTCACTTAAAAACAGCACACTGGGAGCAGCAGCATGGAAGTTACACTCCTGTCTTCTCTGCTACTGGGTTCTGGAGAAAACAGGACACAGGATATGCTTCCTGTCTGGAGAAGGCTTGTAGCAGCCTGGGAA